CAAACACACTGTTGCGAGCAATATTTATTCATTTCACACCTAACCTATCTCGCGACAAAGAAGTTCAAAAGTTTAATTTAGTTGTTTAGTTTATTTAATTCTGTTGAAATTGAGAGAAAACAATTTAACTAAAAGTTCGAACTTAGCCAGTTGGCAACCCTGTATGAAAAAAAAAAGGAGAGCTCTCGCTCGAACAAAGGAGTTTTCTTTTGTATTCGAATAAAATTTTTTTTACGCAGTGGAAGCATGTTTTCTCACGTATAATAAAATCGAACCTAATCCTTATTCTTTATAAGCATCCGGCATTTGTGCGAAGGAAGCTCAATACTTATAACAAATTCATTTCAAAGTTTCAAATGTAAGCGTATTTTGTATGCTAACGCGAGTTTAAAATTAAGACGAACAGTACCTGAAATCAAATGTACCTCCATACGAGATTAACTGGGAGGGGGGTGATGTGGCGTGCAAGCGCAAATTCCCTATAGGGGAGTTGGTAGCACGCTAGCGACGCTACCTAGCGTAGCGTGTAGGAAGTAGTTGAGCGCGGGAGACAACGACGCCGTTCGTCATTAGCCATACGCTGAGTACGCATTATATGTATATCCAATCCTGAATAAATAGTTGTTGAGTTATAGAACCTCGTGTATTTACTCTAAACGCTCCCACAATTGGTGAAGCGTTTTTCTTATCGAAGTTTGAGACAATGGCACACGAGGGTTCTGGGAACGCGTCGGTCGCGGCAGTGAGCGTGAAAGTGCCTCCTTTCTGGGTAGAAGAACCCGAGATGTGGTTCGCTCAGTTAGAGGGACAATTCCTCGTGGCCGGAATAACTGTGGACGCGACAAAGTTCGCATACGTGGTCGGCAATCTGGAGGGTCGGTACGCCAGAGAAGTAGCAGACATTATAAAAAACCCGCCGATAGTGGACAAATACGACACCTTGAAAAGGCAACTTGTGGCAAGATTGTCCCAATCAGAGGACAGGAAGCTGTCAGAGGACAAGAAGCTACGTCAGCTACTGGAAAGAGAAGAACTGGGGGATCGCACTCCCAGCCAATTTCTAAGGCATCTCAAGAGTCTGGTAGGAGAAGCGGTACCTGAAAAATGATTAAGGAGCATTTGGTCCGGTAGACTGCCGCAGTCTGTGCAGACGATATTGCCAACGCAGGAAAAAGCACCATTAGAAGACGCCACGATTTTAGCGGATAAAGTATACGAATTGGCGCCACAAGGTCCTCAAAGTAACATGGCGGCGGTGGCGGTAGAGAAGCCATCCGGAATTTCCGCCATTGAACGGAAGGTGGAAGAACTAACCAAGATGGTGGAACAGTTGACGACCAGGTCGCGTGGTCCATGGCGAAAAAGATGGCGCGGTAGTTCCCGCGACAGGAGCGCAAGCGGGAACCGCGTTCGATACCAAAGCGACAAGAAAAGGTATGATGATTGTTGGTATCATTACAAATGGGGCAAGAACGCGCATAAATGCGTACCGCCGTGTAAATATGCACCCCCGAGGCAGGAAAACTAGAAGGTCGGGCCAATGTAGCGGCAGTCGGGCCGACAGAGAAATCGTGCCGCCTTTTCTTAACTGATCGAAATACGAAATGATAGACACAGGCTCGGATGTGAGCGTGTACCCCGCAAAGCGCTGTAGGGAACGTCGCAGAAGCGGCGAATACATTTTGTACGCGGCAAATGGTACACCGATTAAGACATATGGCAATATGATGATGGATATAAACTTCGGGTTAAGAAGAAGCTTTCCATGGAAAATGGTGGTAGCTGACGTGGCCAAGCCCATTATTGGGGCAGATTTTCTCACGCATTATGGCTTACTGGTAGATCTGAAGGGCGCACGATTAGTAGATCAGGAAACCAAGCTAACGGCAAAGGGTGGTTGGCAATACACCTCAGATTCAATCAAATCTATCTCTCATGCGAATGTAAGCCCGCTAGTTGCCGAATTGCTACAGAGGTTTGTTAGTGTCACTAGGCCAGCGCAGCATGTCCATCCACCGAGGCACACAACGGTTCACCATATCACGACCACACCGGGTCCTCCTCTGCCTGCCAAAGCAAAAAGATTGGCACCGGATCGGTTGGCTGTTGCAAAGAGAGAGTTCCAGTCGATGCTGCAACATGGAATAATAAGGCCATCAAGGAGCAGTTGGGCATCTCCTCTCCACCTCGTGCCCAAAAAGGATAAACAGTGGAGACCCTGCGGCGACTATAGAGCCCTGAACAGCAGGACAGTTCCCGACAGGTACCCTGTTCCGCATATAGAGAGTTTTTCGCAGAATTTACAAGGGAAGAAGATATTTTCGAAGGTCGATCTGGTAAAGGCTTATTACCAGATTCCTGTGGCGGAACAGGACGTGCCAAAAACAGCGATTATAACCCCATTTGGTTTGTACGAATTTTTATACATGACTTTTGGATTAAGAAATGCCGCGCAGTCGTTCCAACGATTCATGGACGAGGTGGTGAGGGGCTTGGAGTTCTGTTTTGTTTTTATCGATGATATACTATCTGGAGCAGTTTTTCACCCGGCTCCAGCAGTACGGCATTGTAATTAATTTAGACAAGAGCGAATTTTTCCAGAAGAGAGTTACATTCTTGGGATACACTGTGGATCAGGAAGGAATTAAGCCGCCAGAAGAGAAAGTAGCGGCTATTAGGAATGTGCAACGCCCGAGGACGGTTACGGAATTAAGGCGCTATTTAGGAATGGTAAATTTCTATAGAAGATTCCTGCCAAGGATCGCGGATGTACTGGCGCCTTTGGAAGACTTGATAAACGGCCTGGGAAGCGGAAAACAGCCGGTTTTTTGGACTCGGGAATCAGAGCAAGCCTTTGACCAGTCTAAAGAGGCCCTAGCTGATGCAGCGTTGTTAGCGTACCCATCTCTGGAGGCGGAGATGGCCGTTTTTGTGGATACATCGGATATAGCGGCAGGGGCTTCACTCCAGCAGCGTGTAGATGGGAGATGGCAACCATTGGCCTTTTTCAGTAAAAAGTTTAACAAAGCGCAGACGTTGTACAGCGCTTATGACAGGGAGTTGTTGGCAGCCTATCAGGCTGTCAAATATTTCAAGCATATGTTAGAAGGTCGAAATTTTACATTATTCACGGACCATAAACCATTGATCTACGCTTTCAGACAGAAACTGGAGAAGTGTACGCCGTTACAGTATAGACATCTGTCCTACATTTCGCAGTTTACCACGGACATTCAGCACGTGGCAGGAAAGGATAATACTGTAGCCGATGCCCTGTCAAGGATAGAGGAGGTGACGGCGACCATTAACTACGAGACTTTGGCCCAAGACCAAGTGACGGATGACGAAATGCAGAGGGAAAACAGCCGGTTTTTTGGACTCGAGAATCGGAGCAAGCCTTTGACCAGTCTAAGGAGGCCCTAGCTGGTGCAGCGTTGTTAGCGTACCCGTCTCTGGAAGCGGAGATGGCCGTTTTTGTGGATGCATCGGACCTGGCGGCAGGGGCTTCACTCCAGCAGCGTGTAGATGGGAGATGGCAACCATTGGCCTTTTTCAGTAAAAAGTTTAACAAAGCGCAGACGTTGTATAGCGCTTATGACAGGGAGTTGTTGGCAGCCTATCAGGCTGTTAAATATTTCAAGCATATGTTAGAAGGTCGAAATTTTACATTATTCACGGACCATAAGCCATTGATCTACGCTTTCAGATAGAAACTGGAGAAGTGTACGCCGTTACAGTATAGACATCTGTCCTACATTTCGCAGTTTACCACGGACATTCAGCACGTGGCAGGAAAGGATAATACTGTAGCCGATGCCCTGTCAAGGATAGAGGAGGTGACGGCGATCATCAACTACGAGACTTTGGCCCAAGACCAAGTGACGGATGACGAAATGCAGAGGGTGAGAGAATCCGATTCGGCACTCATTATTAGAAAAATAGTTTTGCCTGACGCAGGAGTAGAAGTGTATTGCGATATATCGACCGGAAAAGCGAGGCCGTTTCTTCCAGAGAAGTACAGAAGACAGGCTTTCATGGCGATACACAACTTGAGTCATCCGGGGGCTAAGGCAACGGTAAAATTGATTACGGACAGGTTCGTTTGGCCCAATATCAAGAGGGATGTGAAAAGCTGGGCGAAGCAGTGTATAGCATGTCAAAAGGCGAAAGTTGGAAGACATTGCAAGCCGGAAGTAGGAAGTTTCCCAACGCCTTCGAGGAGGTTCGAGCATGTCCACATTGATCTGGTGGGACCTTTACCACGTTCAAAGGGTTACACATACTGCCTGACTTGCGTGGACAGATTTACACGATGGCCGGAGGTGATTCCGCTGGCGGATATTACAGCGGAGGCGGTAGCGCAGGCTTTTTTCGAGGGATGGATTGCGAGGTTTGGAATTCCACTGCGCATTACCACGGATAGAGGAAGACAATTTGAATCGTACCTATTCAGCGCGTTGACACGCCTATTAGGAGCCCAGCACCTTAAAACCGTGGCATACCACCCGGAAGCCAACGGGATGGTAGAGAGATTTCACCGGCAGCTAAAAGCCGCAATTAAGTGTTGGGAGAATGACCAGTGGGCTGAGACACTGCCATTGGTTCTGCTGGGAATCAGAGCAGCGTTTAAAGATGACCTGAAGGCGTCGGTTGCAGAGTTGGTGTATGGCGAAACAATCCGTTTACCCGGGGAATTTTTGGTTCGGGGTGCTGAGACGGAGGCATCCCAGTTCGTGCATCAATTGAAGGAAAAGATCAGCAGAATGAGGCCAGTCGAGCCGATGAGGCACGGGCCGGGTAAAATATTCGTTTTCAAAGACTTAGAAAAAGCAACGCATGTGTTCCTAAGGCAAGATGGTGTAAGAAAACTGTTGCAGCCGCCTTACGCAGGTCCGCACAGAGTAATCGAGCGAAGTAGTAAGCATTTCACCATTCAAGTGAATGGCAGGAGCGTTAAAGTAGCAATAGATAGGGTTAAGCCCGCTTATAAGACTGAGGTTTGTCTCGAAGCATTAAAGTCTGTTAAAACCAAAGAGAGTAGACGCGTGCGTTTCGCGGTGTAATTAGAATGAAAAGGAGTAATAATATTTTTCTTTTATGCGACTATAGTATATATTGCAACTGCGGTGTAATTTACTTACAAGGAAAGGCACGCAAGTGTCCCTCTCCGATTTTGATGAAATTTCGTAGGTTTGTAAAGTAGGCAAAAATAAGGGACACGTATTTTTTTTTATCGACTGAGACGCGGGTTTAAGGGGTGAAACGAGCCCTTAAAGTTTCGACCCATTTTGGCTATCTCGACAACCATACGAGATACATTAAAACTTCTAATAGAAAAGTTGTATGGTTTCTTGCGTATAATAACAGGATGTTAACAAATTTTGCAAAATACAATTTGTTTATAACAACAAAATTTTTCATAACCTTATTTTACAATTTATTCAAATTTGTATAATGACAAAAAGTGTAGAGAATTTTATTACAAATCCATTGATATATATATATACGATATTGCCTCCTACAATTCTTCAGATTTTTATCATAAAGGTTCGCGCGCGCGTCCGCTGACGCTCCACACTATACTAAATTGGATGAAGTCGAACGATATTACACTGACAGTCAACATTATTTATAAGCATAAATGAGAAACAATTACACTTGCGTTATAATTAACATTTATCGTTAAAGTACAGAGGTATTCTATATGTTAATTTTATTAGAAATGATTCAAACGGTTTTCGATGCACCATGCACATGAAATAATTGCTGCGTCACTACATATGTGGCATAGTGGTTCATTATGTGATGCATAGCAAAAT